GATTCACAGTCCACTGAAGACAACAGAAGTCTAATCCATGCTGTCCAGCGGGATTTGGATTATCCCTCATATTATTCCAGTTTGGATCCCCTCATTCTGCCCCAGCAAAACTACCCTGGGAATTGGCAGGAAAGTTGTCTGCAGTAAACACAGCAAGATCTGACTTCAGGAAAGCATCTCCCCTTCCTCAGCTAGCAGTGTCCCCACATTATTTTGAGGCAACTGCCATCAGCATGAACAAGAAAAGAAGATAGCCAAGTCTATGAGCTGCCTACCAATAAACCTCTGCCTGATTTGCACGTTGTGTTTGTTTCTAATGACAGGCACAGGTACTGCTACTAATGCAGACCTTTCCCTCTAAGCAGAGGTTTCACTGAATCAGAATTTCAATTTGCTGTACATAAGGCTCACACAATGGGTAGCTTTCATTTTACTTTGCTATGAGCAGTGGGCAAGTCACAAGATCAGAGTTTGCCATTGTGGGCAGCTTCTGAATGATAGGCATGAAGCGAGGCCGGCACAAGAAGCAGCATTCTGGGCAGCTGGTAAAGAAAAGGGCATTGTTGTCTGAGAGCAGGGAGAGCAACACCCACCTAAGTGAACTGCCAAAGTCAGTGAGCAGTGCTGTATGCTTCACAAATTGTTTTCCCTTCTAACAAAATACTGAAAAGCTTATGAATGAAAACAGTCTCCACAGACAGAGCAGCACTCTGTGAGGCACTTTGGAAATCAGTTCTACTCAGGAGAGTGGAAAAGGTAAACACACATCCTTCCCATTTTTGCTCAATCCCACCAGTGCTATTGGGTTCAGTATTTAGTACTATAATTAGTAAATCCCACTGATTCCCCATGAGAAGGCAGTCTGAATGACACTGCATAGAGGTCTGGAGCAGCATGAAGGGGAGCAAATGATTTTGTTCTTCAGGAATTCCCCTACCTTATACATCGCACTTGAGCATCTATTTTTTTTGGTGCCACAGAAATCTCCCCAGGTTCCCAAGCAGAGAGGAGGCTCTGGCAGAGGAAGCAAATGAAAAAAAAGGATCTGTTTGCAGATACGTATTGCAAGTAAGGGAGAACAGTGGAAAGCAAAATTCCAAAATATGAAGTTGGGACTGTTACTGAGTGGAGTATTTTCCATTGTTTTCAAGGAGGCAGCAGCTTCTCTTTTCTGTGAAGAAGTTAATGGATTACTGGGCAATGAATAATGTGCAGTTCTATTTACATCCACTGTTTGGACTATTCTGGTCCTTCAGATAGTGTATCTGTTCTCAGGCCTTTCTAAAAGCAGCATGCTACACTTTTTTGCAAGCAATTCTGGATAGTAGCTACAACCAATATGCTTCACTCAGCTACAAACTAGCTAGATCATTGTTTGTCGGGAATTTTTTTATGAAACCAATTGTACTGGATCAATGCTCCCTCTAAGCAATAAATTCTATCTACTCAGCGAAAAAGCTTTCAAAATTGCAAATAAATCTTGTTCTAGGAAATACAGTTTGGCTCTGCACCGATGTGTGATCAACCACAGATGCAAATAAACTCAAGCCGCTAGCATATACATCTGCATCTCATAGTAGGAGCTAGTATTCTTATTTTCATTAGAAATTGCTAAGACACTAAGACACCTTTTAAGTGCTTCTAGAACTAGTCCACTGCATTAGTAATGAGTACTCAGGGGCACTGAGTTTGGTTTTTATAAAGGTCATTTGGTGTCTTTTCCCCTCACAACGGACTAAAAGCAGAAATCAACAGAGCCTTAATCTATATTAATTTGCTTTACTCTTGGAGGGTCATAGATTTGTCGCTAGAATTAGCCATATTAGATGCGAAAATGACAGTTTAATGAGACTATGATGAAAGCCTCTGTTCTATTCTAAAACAGGAACTCCTCTCACATTGTGCGAAGGAGAAGCAACTCCATGAAGTCAGAGGAAATACACCAATGTCATTTCACAGCAGAATCAAGCTCCAGTAAATAGGGCTGGTGTGTTCCATTCAAGAGTTCACATCTCGAGCTGTACGGAGACAGGAGTCATGAGGTCTGGAGCTCTACCAAAATGCCTGGAGATGCACCTCACTCTCAGAGGTGAAACTGGCTTCTCCAAAAAAACAGGAAACAAGATCTGGGTCTAAATATTTAAATATTAACTTGAAAGTTGTACACCAAACGCTACTGCACAGCTTTGGTGACAGCAAAGTGCAGGATAATGGAGACTCATGCCTCTTACAAGATCCTAATGCTCCAGAATCTGCACCCGTCTATAACAAGGAGCAATCACGCATTGCACTGTGTAATTTGCAAAGCAGAAAATAGAGTCCTCTGGGTCAAGGATATAGCTCTTGCAAATATTTTGATAATATCTGCTCTTTGGTGCAATCTGCTGCATTTCAGAGGTCAAAAAATGTTCTTCATATTCATGTGAGTTGTTTCCAAGAGAGATGCTTTAGTAGCATTCAGAGAAGGAGGGAATACAAAACCCTAACATAATCCGGGAAAGCTCCCACTCTTCTCGTTCAAGGCAGTCATCATTCATAGGTCATTTTTCATGGAAGCCCATGCATTTTCTCTAAGTGGCAGTCATATTCCAACAGATATGCTGCAAGTGACCTAGAAACTGAGGTGAACAAAGTTCCCCAGAAAATATACATACTGACCATACAGTAGTGCATGCAACTCCTTCTGGCCTCTTGAGATGTCTCTGTACAATCAATACTACTGCCCCATCTGATGTTGATATACAACAGTAGGGAGAAAGCACGTATTTGTGTGCTAGGCTTCTAGCATCAATTTAGAAGAAACACAAAGTGGCTAGTATCAGCCTACGTGGAATCTGACCCCAAGCAGAGTGTGTCTTGCACCAGGGTACAGATATCCAACTCACTGTGCTTTCTGTGCACAAATGCAAAGCTATGTCAGGGGAGGATTTTATTATTAATACTAACAAGTCATACATGCATTCGTATATATCTGCATACATATGAACATCTGAGTGTTAGCAGACTCAGTATGATCATCTGGCTTGGGGGAGTCTAGCTTGAGTGCATATTTTATTTCTTTGTGTAAGGCTAGGAGTGGCCCTATAGCCAAGTACCTCAGAAATAAAAACTTACCCCACAATTTATTGTGCTGTTTTAAGGAATAAGCACTGGTTCGCTAGGAATCTTGAAAAAAAAACCTCTTAGGACCATCTCACCTTGGGCAAGGTGGTTACCTCAGCTACTGCTACAATCCTTTCACTGAAGTTTGCCAGTCTGGTTCTATGCTGAAAATGTAGTCATAAAGATGGAAGGGAATAAATCCACTACACAGATACGTAAAAGATACGCAAACTGAACGCTACTTTTGCCTAAATCCAAATACAATCCAGAGACTAAATCCAAAATTCCTTGAGGGTGCGACACACAGAGAACACCTTGCTAGAATAACCTAAGAAAGCACAGCAGTTAGTTTTTAACTCCAGACTTGTGGCAGATGATACAAAGATCTATAGCCGAGAGTATAAAATTGGTTTTGTTCTTTTTAAAGCTAATCACTCTCACATTTCACTGCGTTTGTGAGGTATTACTTGATCAGTCACAACTGGGAGGCAATTTTATACTCTTTCCAATCTGTGTTTGAATAAGATTGTACTTGCAAGGACTATGTATCATGATGTAGCTACTGGAAATCCTCATATGCTCGATCAGCTGTGCGCTTGGGACACTTGAATGCACTGAATTTAAATGACAGCGCAGTCTTCCAATTCACGTAGCCTTCTAATAACATTTGTTAATCCAAGCAAATATCAAGGAATCTGTTCAGTGCCAGTGCTGAATCTTCCAGTGGACTGCTTGCTAAATCCCTAAAAGGTAGTGTCAAATGGTTTCTGTCATTTCTGTCTTTGGGCACCCAAATCCACCCTGGAACTCCTTCCTGCAATTATCTTGCTAACTGCATTTTAGGGAATAATGCAAGGTTTCTTGAAGAGTCCAAGAATTCAATAAAATCATGTCGTTTGATAGGTATGTGTTTGAATAATGTTCTTCTACTGCATGCTTTTAAATGTGAGACAAATGTGGTTGTAATTAAAGTTGAAGCAATAAACCTTAGCCATTGATTGCACTAAGTAATTAATTATTGATTGCAGTACTTTACATACATATTGCAGAGGACAATTCACCTGTGCAGTAGATAATACTTTACTCAGAAATAACCCAAACACAACCCGTTTGCTACACAGAACTATACAAAAATTGGCTCTAGGGTTTACAAGTTAATTTCTTTATTCATGTTCATGGAAATGTTGCTGTCTGAGTTGAAAGAAAGCCATTACTTTCAAAAAGACAATGTTAACTATTCCCTATCCAAATTAATTTTGCAAGTAGGGATTTAGAGATGCAAAAGAGAAAATCTTTCTCTATAAGACTCTGAAGGTGTTAAGTTTCTTCTTAATAAATGCTGCTATCCCCTGCACATACCAGTTCCTAACAAGCGATGCTGCAGTAAGAAGCTGTACAGAAGAGCAACAGTAGCAACATCCTTCCCTAACTCTTGGGGAAGCAGAAGGGAGAGGACTTTGAGGTACAGAAATGGGAATTGAAACATTAATCAGGCAGACCATACGTTCTGAACTGGAGATGTAGGACTAGTTAAGCAGCAGACACCACACTTTTAGTCTAGAGTTGTGCATCAGGTGGGAACATGTTTCCCCATTTACGCTAAACTTATGGAGAGGCTTTCCCTTATAAAAAGCCAAAGTGAAAGACATTTGTTGGCTTAAAAACACAATTTAAAATTAGTAATAGTGTGAGGACACTAAAATTAAGCTTAAATATAAACGAAACCTGCAGATTGTTTGACTGGAGCAGATCTTGGATGTGTCCTCCAGCTCCTCTGACTAGGGAATTAACAAGGAAAAGTTGTGTCTGGGTGTGTGCTCTGTGCGGAAAGGTCTCAGCATGGTAGGGGAAGGGGCAGGCCAGCTAGTTTTGAGTGGGCCAGGAGGGGGGGATTGTACCTGAAGTCGCTGTAGGGATGGATGATCCAGAACCCGGCAGACTTAACCCTTTCCTGCTCCCTCTCCACGGCCTTCTGGCTGCCAAACATCCTCAAGGAGAATTTGTTGACGCCCGGCTGGAGCATGGCCCCGAACTGCCTCTGCATGAAACCAGCTTGGCCCAGCCTCTGCTCCTCATCTGGGGTGATCTGGTCGCACCCTCCACCTCCTTCCACTTTGATGGAGGTAGAGGAGCAAGCCCGGGGGGGCTGCTGCTGGGGCTCCGGGGGGGATGCTGGTGGTGGGGGCGCTGGCAGTCCCTGCTCCAGCTCCCCACTGCTGGGGGGGCTCTTGTCT